AGTTTATTTTTGTAATTAGGATTCATTCCTTAATTTCTTTTTGTACATAGGACTTTCAGTAAAATAGTGACCAGTCCGTTTAATCCTGTTGGGCCTCGTTCACTACTATACTCGCGTTAGACGGGAACGTTACACCACCAACAAGAACGCGCCAAAATTTACCCAACTGGAAAATACTTTCAAGGTCAGGCCGATATAAAGGCTCTTTAATTTCCATGAATTACATATTATTCATACCCCCGGAAACTACCAAACTGCACACTTCAATTCTTATATTGTCATATCGTTCTTTCCTAAAACTTTTGTGATTATTTTTCTTTGGAACTCAGGTTTTTTTTAACTTAAATCAAACTCTCAATTCGCGCTCTGTTGGCTAAACAGACACCCAAAACAAATAAAGTTAAAGTGCAGTCGAAATGGATGGGTTTATTTTTAGGTTGTTTTTCTGTGTCCAAGGGAGACTAACAATGCCCAAAGGACGCTATACTACTGTTTACGCACGTACCTCACGTTTTACGGCCAAATCTACGATCAAAGCCAAGGAGCCCCAATGGGGTCCCCAATCTCCGGCTACCTGGCTGAAGCGGTCTTGCAGGAACTGGAGACTCGGGTCTTCCAGACCTACAAGCCGAAATTCTAGATGCGCTTTGTAGACGACACCCTTGTCATCCTACACCGAGACGCGAAAGACAACTTTAAAAGAGAATTGGACTCGGTTTTTCCACTAATTCAATTTACCATGGAGGAAGAAAATAACGGAGTGCTCTCTTTCTTCAACGTCCAGGTATCGAGGCAGGAAGACGGAACCCTCCAGACTGGTGTCTTTCGAAAGGCAACATACACGGAAAAAATGCTCCACTACTACAGCACCTGTCCCTTGTCGCATAAGCGCAGTTGTGTCCGGACACTTTTTCACCGCATCCACACACACTGCAGCACAGAAGCCGAGAAGCTGCGGGAGTTTAAAACCCTATGGCACCTCTTCCTTGCCAATGGATATCCACGCATTTTCGTAAACAAATGCTTGTACTGAAGGCACACGAAGACCGACGGTAAGAAGAAAAAAAGGCCAGAAATCTTCCGCGTCTTGTCCTACGTGAGTAACGTCTCCGAAGCCACTGAGCGCATGCTAAGACCGCTAAGCGTGGGCGTTGGACACCGACCGGAGGCCACCATTCGCCGCTAAATCATGCAGCCCAAGGACCGGCTACCACCTGCAGACACGTCAGGCGTCATTTACCGCACCAGAGGTCTGGACTCTCTAGCCAACTACTGCGGCATGACCGACAAACGCCTAAGAACGCGTATGCATGAGCACACTTTGGCCGTAAAGCGAAAGGATGTACGATCGCATGACGTCATGCACTGTCCAAAAAATAATCACACGTTCGACTTTGACGGCGCCCAAGTGCTCGGCAAAGTCGGAAGCAAACTGGCGAGGGAAGTAATCGAGGCATGGAAATCAGACACCAACTCGAACAACCGTAGTATCAATTTATCAGCGCCATACGAGGCCGTCAGGCACCTTTTACGCGCGAGAGGAGGGCCAATTAGAAAAGAAGGGAACGAACCTATCGGATGCGAACGCAGATGGCCTATTTAAACCCTGTATTTCTCACTTAGTCCATCTCGAATGATGTGCTCGATCATGAACACGAAACGTCAGATGAATAAACCTTCTTCCCCAGAGATCGCCTCATCTTCTCCCATATTAACACCTAGGGTCAGGATTTTTTTCTATATCCATATATGTATGTATGTATGGGGGTGTAGTGGTGTCCAGCGGCTGGTTCACGTGATGGTCGTAGCAGGTCGCTCACTTGCTTGCAGGTGCAGACTACGCCTAGCGTCCATCTGCTGGCACCCAACTCTCACATGTGGTTCCCCGAGGCTAGGCTCCGCCTAGCGACCACACCCCGGTAACCGCCTCGACCGGCGGACTTAACCAGGTGAGGGTATTGTGGATTCCGCAGGGCGTTTGTTCGAATGGAACTCCGCATCGGCACCCTCGAGACGAAGCCCCGCCTGGTATGTCGTTGGTCGGCTGATCGGATGGTACTTCGCATCGGCATCGTCGAGATGAGGCTCCGTCTGGTACACCGCAGGGGGCCACTTACCAAGTGAACCCCCAGGTCCCAGGCTAATTCGAGTCGTTCTCTCACTGACGCAAAGTCGCGGCTGATAGTGGACTTCGGCAGAAGTCTGGGATGGCCGAACAGGCCTATTTAGGGGTGTACTGCTCGCCACACAACGGGAAGAAGCTAGAAAAAGTGCCCTACAAATCGTTGGTAACCACGTTGTCTGTAGGCTGGCCGTTGTTGCAGACAAAAAACATACGATCGAAACAATCAAAATCGCAAAAACAACAACAATACTCTCTCTCTTCCTCCTTCTGACTATTGTCCTTCTTCTTCTTCTTCTCCTTTTTTTCTCTTACTCCTCATCCTCCCCGCCGCCGCCTTAATCGCCTGACCGGCAGGGTGAGTCCACTAACTCCGGCGGCCCGGAATGTTCGTTCCCTTTAAGACAATCCGAGGAACAACAGACCGGAACGGAGGACGGCGTTATTGGCTCATGAACTGGCTCGCTACAAGGTGGACATCGCCGCACTCAGTGAGACCCCATTTGCTCAACAAGGCCAACTGGAGGAGGTGGGTGCCGGCTACCCCTTCTTCTGGAGCGGTCGCCCCAGGGCAGAGCGACGGGACGCAGGTGTCCGCTTCGCCATCCGGAAAAATATCGTGGGACGACTGCCCTGTCTGCCGCAGGGCACCAACGATCGCCTGATGAGCCTCCGCCTGCCTCTCTGGGGAGGCAAATTCGCCACCATCATCAGCGCCCATGTTCCCACGATAACCAGCCCTGACGCTGCAAGAGACAAATTTTACGAGGGCCGGCATGCCCTTCTGGCGTCTGTGTCGAAGGTGGATAAGCTGATTGTCCTCGGTGACTTCAACGCCCGCGCCGGCACGGACCATGCTGCCTGGAGAGGAGCGCCAGGTACCCATGGTCCAACGGTTCCAACGACAATGGCCTGCTTCCTCTCCGCACCTGCGCAGAACACCGCCCAATCCTGACGAACACGCTCTTCTGCCTGCCAGAGAGAGAGAGAGAAGGCCACTTGGATGCGTCCTCGATCGCGTCAGGGGCACCTGCCGGACTATGTCCTAGTCCCGAAGCGAGACCTGTGGGACGTGCTGGTGACAAAGACGATTCCGGATGCTGACGGGTGGACCGACTATCGTCCCGTCATCTCGAAGATGCGGATTCGTCTACAACCTCACCGGAGACCTCAAGCTAATCGACTCCCAGGTAAGCTGAATATTGCCTTTCTGTTTTTGCCTGCTCACCATCTTCATTTCAGCAATGAGCTAGGTCGATGGCTAGGCAACCTTCCAGTTGTTGCAGTTGCCGCCGCCTCCGCCGCTGACGAGAACGCCTCCATGGAGAACCGATGGAGTCAACTGCGGGGCACGGTCAAGTCGACGGCCCTAGTCGTCCTCGGTCGCGCACCCCGCCAACACCAGGACTGGTTCGACGGAAACGACGACGCCATCAGCAACCTGCTCACCGAGAAGAATCGCCTACACAAAGCCTACGTAGACCACCCCACCGACGACATCAGAGCTGCTTTCTTTCTCAGTCGTCGCCTTGTACAACAGCGGCTGCGCGAGGATCAGGATGCCTGGACGGCTCACAAGGCTGGGGAGATCCAAGGGTACGTGGACCACAACGAATGGAAAAACTACTTCTCCGCGATCAAAGCTGTCTACGGTCCGCCGACGAAGGGCACTGCTCCTCTACTCAGCGCCGACGGCAGTACCATCCTGACTGAGAAGACACAAATCCTACAGCGATGGGTCGAGCAGTTCCAAGGCGTCCTCCGCTGCCCCTCCAACACCTCCGACGCCGCCATCGCCCGTCTGCCACAAGTGAAGACCAACGTGGATCTCGATCTCCCACCCTCTCTCCAAGAAACCATCAGGGACGTGCAGCAGCTCTCCAGCAGGAAAACACCCGAATCTGACGCGATACCTGCAGAGGTTTAAAAGCAAGGCGGACCCCAACTCATGGATCATTTGACGGTGCTCTCCCAGGAGATGTGACGTCAAGGTGAAGTCCCGTAGTATTTCAAAGACGCCAAAATCGTGCATGTATACCAGCGGAAAGGAAACCGCCAGCTGTGCGACAGTCATCGAGACATTTCGTTGCGGGAAAACTTTGCGGGAATATATATAGGGAAAACTTTAGCGGGAAAACTTTGTTCGCATCCTCCTCACCTACAACAGGGTCTCCTGCCGGAAAGCCAATGCGGCTTTCGCCGTCACCGTAGGACCACATACAGGATTTAATTTAATTTATCAAATGCCAGTTTACAGGCATTGTCAAGAGAAGCGATTAAACACAAATCCGACCAGCAGTGAAAATACTCCTGAGCTAAAGGAATAAAAATATAGTTGATGGTGGTTTTTATGGTTTGGAGGGTTCAGGAGAAAAAAAACTGCTGGCGGTAGATTTTCGACCATCAAGAAGGGGGGAGGGGGTTGTACGGTATCGGAGATTATCGGACGTCAATTCCTTTCATGAAGTTGGGGATAGTCAAAGTAGAGGCGTTGATGAACAGCTGGTGAGACCGGCCATAGTGTTCAGAGACCACAGACGCCATCGCTACGGTAGAGTCGATCAGTGGATTCAGAACCCAAAATTTGAGGAAGCTCTTCTGAATGTAAAAATCGAGTAATAGTTCTCATACATAAAGGATAATTTTGCAGAGTTTTCACACTCATTGGTAGTTTATTCCAAATAGCAATTGCATTTACAGAATAGAACCGACGATATTTAACAGCACGTGCCAGAGGCAGAAATAAGGAGACCTCACGGTGACTGTTACGTCGTGGGTGGATATGATGTCTTAAAGAGGTGAGTGGGTTAACCGTGTGATTATATAAGAGTTTAAATAGCAAAAATAGTCCCTTTTGTAATCTACGGAACCATAAAGGATCGAGGCCTGTAAGCCGGCAACGTTCTTGGTAAGACAAATGTCGGTGTTCCGCGGCTAAAATTCTCTTGGTACAAAAGTGTTGAACGGATTCTATTTTCTTCCGCTCAGTAGCACGCATGAGGCTAAATAAAAACGAACAGTATTCCAGGCCAGGTCTAACGTACATGTTGTAAAGGCGCATTCTGATTTCCCTAGTTTTAAAGTTTCGGAGGATAAACCCGGTCGTTCTGCGTGCTTTGGAGACTATCAAGACCTAGTGCTCCGAGAGATTGAGACTCTTGGAGTATGATATGCCCAGATCCTTAGTAACCCTGGGCACATTTATGGAGTGACCTTCAATATTTAGTTGAGGTTGGTGATCGTCGCCAACCACCATGACTGAGCACTTATGCCAAGAAAGAGAAAGGCACCATGTGCCCGTAAACTCTAGTTGAAGTGCTAAGAGATGCGGACCCGCCCCTGCTCTACCTTCGAGGATCTAAGTAATGCCTCCGATACGGTGAATCATGAAGGACTGATAAGCCAAAAATAGCTATTCCAGCCTCCCTTGTCATTTGGTAATACCATTCTGCCTATGTCATGCCCCGCTCTGCGGCATCTCGTTGGGCTCGAAAGGGACTCCGTAAGGCACAACGGTACGATGGACTTTCGCAGAAACGATTGGTGAACGCCCCTCTACCATTGTGTATTCCTGATCGCAACCGACGTGACAATGAGTCCGTGGCTCAGTGGTTAGAGTCGTTTGATTTCTAACTAACAGGTTGCAGGATCGAGCGCCAGATGTTGCACACTTCAAAGTTGGGCATGACTGACTGACGACAGATAATAAGCCAGAAATGGCCATTCCAGTCTCCCTTGTCTTTGTCGGTAATACCATTCTGCGTCCTTGAGCCTACCCTCTTCGGTCTCTTGTTCCTTGCCATTCTGACTGACGCCCACCGTTACGAACACCCCGGGATCCACGTCGCCGACAGAACCGACGGCTACCTCCCCAATCAGCGGCGGATGCCCTTCCAGGCGGGTGTATCCACGACCACTGTCCAGGAACTTCTGCATGCGTATGACTACACCCTCAAGACAACCACTGAAGGAGACATGGAAAGGAGCACGAATCGCTTCTATGCCGCTTGTGAGAAATTCGGCCTAATCATGAACACGGAGAAGACGGTGGTAAGGCCCCAACCGCCACCCAACACTGCCAAAATGAGCCGCAAATCAGCGGGAATCGAAACCCAACTGCCGGTGGTGGGCAACTTCGCTTATCTGAGCAACAACCTCTCCCGCACCACCAAGACCAACGATGAAGTGGCCCGCCGGATTTCCAAGGCTATTCTAGCATTTGGTCGTCTTCAAAACACAGTTTGGAATCGTCGCGATCTCCATCTCATTACCAAGCTGAAGATGTGCAAGGTCGCCATCCTACCGACATCGCTGTATGGAGCATAGCCCTTCACGGTGTACAAGAAGCAGGCACACAGTCTCAACCACTTACACTTCAGTTGTCTTCATTAAATACCGAAGCTGGGGTGGTAGGACCTGATCCCAGACACGTACGTACTGGAGTGTAATGGAATCCCCAGCATCTACGCTATGCTGAGACAAATGCACCTACGTTGGAGTGGCCACCTCGTACGGATGGACGACTCCCTTGCTGCATGTGTGATAGAATCTGAGATGAAAACGGTGCGTCAAAAGCCGCGACTCGGAAGGCAGCCGACTCACGCCCCATTTCAGTCCACGTAGTGTGCCCTATTGTGTTGAGTGTGGAGCGGCGGACTGGTGGGCTGGCAGTCAGGCTGTCACGGTCCCTTCTCAAGCGAACTGTGACACTCTCATGCATGTAAGGAGAGTGATTGTGTTTGTGTGTGTGCTTTATGGGTAGTGTCTCTCAGTTGATGACTGTTTGGTTACGCAGCCTTGAAGGGTGACAGCTCAGGCCAAATGCAGGGTCACGTGTCTCCTGTCAATGTCGAAAGGTCAGGAGGTGAATGGTATGCCAATATCAGCAAACCATGACCCTCACAGTCTTTATGCTCTGGCAGTTCCCTGACACCTGGTTCCCTGCCGGCAGACGCACTTGCACTCCTGCTGGGTATACAGGTGGTGGGCATGGCTGTCCAGTCATCATCCTCATCCTTCTGACCCCTGTTGTAGTGTTGTTGTTATTGCTGGTGAAAAATCCTGGCCAAGAGTATGTTATGGAACAGGGGATGTGGTGGTCCGACCATGCTAGCCACCCGCGCCCTCCCTTTTTCCGGTCATCTCAACTCTGTCTTGACACCGAGTCCAGGTGGGCGATGGGAAGGAGAGAATGCGTTAGATGCAGCGCAAGTCTACATTCACCATGAACTAATTCACGCGCACGTCACCGTGCCTGTTCAACTTTGTTGTGGAGCACACCGTCTACTGTATGTTTATTTACACTAAATTACAGTCAGATACCTTAAAAACCATGAAATATATAATACTTAAGTGGTCGCATTCCATGATAATCAATATTGCAAATCTGCATCTGTGTTTATATTTGAAGCGTTAGAAGCAGAGCCCTTAATTACCTTATTTACGCACAATGATCTTTCATATTTGCACTCAAGATAAAACTGCAAACATTTAGAATGTGTTCATATCACAATAAAACCGTAATGGTAAGGAAATGCGTCTGTTTACCGCGAGTCAGCACGGCAATATTACGTCTGATATAGTGCTTTACAAAACTGGCTGTGAGTACTCATGTTGTAAAAGTCGGTTTTTTGCGAAAATTACGTGAGCAAGTTTTTTATACATGCGAATTGCGTCAGCCGCCATCATCTCGCTTGCTAGCGAGTTCCATGATGGGACAACCAGTTGGTTGAAGGAAGACTTCCCACGATCGATCCGCATGCGTTCGTTGTTGACTTTCTAGGGATGGCCGCGTAGTTGACCTAGAGTGGCAAACGCAAAAAAGTCATTCGGTCTTAGTGAACAACCTTGGCCGCGGACAATTAGGAATGTCCAGATTTGACTGCAGTTTAGTTGCCTATGAGATAGCGGCAATAAACCAAGCACTTTCAGTCCCCCCTGGTACGGCAAATGCTTTATGCCATCGACCATCTTCGTTGCTCTGTGTTTCCCCTGTTCGAGTAGGTCAGCAACCTTCTCCATCCATGGTGAAGATACTGGCATTCCCGTAGTCCAGGTACGGTCGTACAAAGACGCCGAAAAGTCTTCCGAAGAGTTCAGGAGGAAATATTTTAAATGCACATCTAATCCAGTGCACTCAGGAGATTCCGGACTAACTCCTTCTCAGTACGCTACCCCACAATAATAAGCCGCTTAATCTGTTAACTACAAAGAGTTAATCGCTTTGCATATATACATACAGCTTCTTGTTCAAAATCAGGTTCTGCATGTAGCCTTGTGTTATGACGCGGCCTGGTACTCAAAACTCACGCGAAGCGTATGCGCACTTGAATGTTGTCCCCAATATTAACGCGGCAAGGATGGGGAACACGGCCGGCCACGAAAAATTGCATTAGAAATCTGCAAGTCGCTCTGCCTGGAAAAACAACACAAATTTATAACATCCTACTGGGGTTCGCCTGCATTCGGTCCATTGGGCTCCGAAAAGAGAATTCTAGACAAGCAGACTGACTTCTGTCATGCAAGGATCAATTAGTTTCGAGGGAAGTAGCCAATGGCGAGGTGCCACCATCGTGCTGGCAGCGTGATAGAGAAGACGCATGTGCCCTCCAGTGATTGGCTGACCCTTGTTGTTGGGAGTGTAGCCACTACCAACATATTGCAACGGAGCCCTCGTAGGCATGTAGCAGATGACATTCTCTAGGAATACCCAGACAAGATCACCCTTTGGCGAATGACGCGGCCCACTAGTTAGGAGGTCTTTCAATTCAGACACGCAGTGATGAAATGAGTCGTCCAAGGAAACGGGCTTTCCAGAACCGGGAAGAAAGGGTTGGACGACAACTAGACGGTTAATACGACCAAGTATAGGCTGCAGTCATTGACTGGAACCCTTTAGCATCTTCGTTCCACCAATGTGCAATTGAATGCTTACTTCCGAAATTCTCGCCTCCTACCGACGGTGTAGCTCGTCGAGCAGAGCTCTCCAAGCCCAAATCGACATAGCACACGTTCTTCACATGCTTGTTAATGAATGATCGCAGAGTTTACAGCAGAGTCTGCGGATCCTTGGGTACCTCTGGATGGTAGGATCGCAGCATATAAAGCAGCTTCTTCGTTACGGAATGTGACAGTTGCACGTCAAGGCAGAATTCTTCCAAACGCGCCAGAAAGCAGCTGTCTCCAAATGCATTTGTGTTTCCCGCCTCCTCATCTGACTCTGTACCCATCCTTCGGCTACACACGTTAAAAACATACCCGTAGGAACTTCTGGACTCAATATAGTTATTTGTCTTTCCGGTGAGGAATCTGCTACTATGCATGACGCTGATGTGACCGAGCGGTTAGGTTCATCAACGGCGACATAGTGTGCCTGCATGTCTCACTTAATGCGCTTGTATATAGTCCTCCAGTTGTATCAGTAGTAGTTGCGACTATATTTACTTCCGGCGGACAACAAAAAATGATATAGAATGGGTGTGTGTAAACCGACAACATGCAGTCTGCTCAGGAAGATATCATTAAGCTTTTAGACCTAACTGGTTCCCAAATAAGTTAAAATTAATTAGTAGTTACAATAGTCATCATTTGCAAAAATAAAAGACATCGAATGGATTTGGCTTTCCCCACTGCTGTTGCAAACAGCGGTCGACACAAATAGGCAGTTGGATGACGGACGACGCTTATCCTCCCATAAGTACGCCTACTCATAATGTAAATGCTTCCTAAAAATAACCTGCTCTGTTTACTAATACAACTCTCTCCTCATAATATGCGAATAATTCCCAAAATAATATCTCCATGCCCCAGTTTCTTCGCTCCCACGAAATAAAATATACTTCTATGCAATACTGCCTCTTTAGTTAGTGGCAACACCTCCACAAATATTAGGCCGCAGCAATTTCGCTCTCCGCCTCTCATTTCCTTCCTACGTTTTCATTTCCCACTATGAACGTGAGATCAGTTGTGCTAGTAATGTCTCATCTGAGAGCTGCAGCCTTCGACTTTGATCCAAAT